TAGTGTGTGTCGGATGACCCAGCGTTCAATCTATTCGACTGTTAATATTTAACAGCCTCCACCCCCTCGCGAGGGATGTATGTGGTGCAAGGCCGAGTTTACCGTGGGTTCTCTGTGCCAGTAGGCTCGGCGAAAAATATTCGATTAGAACCCGTATAAACGGGTTCAGGGCCTGTCTACCTGACAGGATGAAACTTTGCCCTGCGGCAAAGAATCGTCCTGGTTCCTCTCTGCCGAGGCAGAGAGTTCGACAGTTACGAACAGTCTGGTCGACTCTTCCTCCAAGGACTTCTCTGCTACTAATCTAATAGTAGGAGGAAGAGTCCAACATAGTCTCTTTAGAGTGAGGACACCACAACACCCCACACCTTTTTTAGCCTGACTCCGTATGGAGTCTTTCTTTATAATTACAACACAATACTTTTTATTCAACACATTAAACCCTTTTTCACAACCAATAAAAAATCATATACAACCATTTTGAAAAAGCTATATACAGGAATTACATTCCCAATTTTTTTTTTAGTTTTACGACAAACATTTTACGTGTTAACAACAGTCCTTTTTTTATTAAGGTCTCTATTAATTATTTCTAAATAATGAAAAATTGGATAAGTTAAATGGTAAATTATAATGTTAATATGTCCAATAATCCAGTGAGTATTGTGCTTTTCTTGTAATTCAAAGTTCATATGTGAGGAGATGGGTGTTTTATACTCATTCTTTTCCATTTTCTGTTGACATGGTATTAAATAAAAGATGTTCAATATCTTTTTTCTTTTCGGGTTAATTTCTAAAGATTCCGTAAATTTCCTTTTTCTTTTGGCCTTTCTGAGTTCTGGCACTGATTGCAGTATTGAAACTTGAAATGTGTCAAAGACGACGTCCATAGTGTCATCTTCTATGGGAACCCTGTCGACTACACTTTCATACCGTTTTCTAATTTGGTTTATATGACGTTTGTGTATAAACTTCTGTCCATGAACCATGTAAATCATGTTACCAATTTGTCTGTCTATTGTCCCTATCTCCCAGTAAGTTTTATTATTCCCAAATATACGAAAGTAAACCTTTTCATCGATCTTAAATCGCCTTTAAGCACTTTGTTCCTATTTCTCGCTTTCATTTCACTCGGAAGGAATTTGTCAAATGCCGATTTTATTTTCCTGGCAAACATGACCTCCACTGACATCTTGGCAAATGGAGCACTGCTATTAGGGGTTACACGATAGACCGGCAAAAATAACTGCTGTATAGCCGTATTGGGTGGAGTACCTCTCGCCTTCCTCAGTGCTCTCTTGAAAGTGTCCACAAAACGCTCTGCTTGTCCATTACTTTTTGGGTGATATGGCGCCGTGGTAATATGTTCGATCAGGAATGACTGACAAAAATCCTTAAATTCACCGGATATGAACTGTGTGGCATTGTCTGTTACGATATAGTCAACAACTCCAAAACAGGAAAATAGCTCGTGCAAAAACTTTACTGTCACCTCCTCGGTCGGCTTCTTATATTTCAATATTTGTGGCCACTTGGAATAACTGTCAACTCCTACAAGGTAGTAAAAACCATCAAATGGGCCAGCAAAATCAATGTGTATCCGCGACTACAGACGGTCGGTTTTAGGCCAGGGATCGAATTTTATCGGGGGTGCTTTAGCAGCCAAACCACACCCTTAGCACGATCTTACAGTGTTTTCAATATCCTTGTCAATGTTGGCCCAGTAGACGTAACTCCTCATCAGACTCTTCATTCTTGAAGTTCCCAGATGGCCAACGTGGAATTCCTTTAAAATTCTTTTCTGTAGTGTAGATGAGATTACTACTCTGTCTCCGTACATTAATATGGCGTTACAGGGTGAGTAAATATTCTGGTCTTTACATTTTTATAAACTCATCATCGGACGCTTTGTCTATTATTTCGTCCATTGTTATAGAAAGGTACTTTTTTACTTCGACCTCTGTTCTTATGGCAGCAATGACTTCCAAGGGTTCAGCATACTTAAGTATCAATCTAGTCAACACGTCTGCATAACAGATTTTAGTGGATGGGAGAAACTCCATTTTGTAGTTATAACTGAGGAGAATGGTGGCCTAATCTTTGCAGTCTATTAACAGTATGTGTTGGCAGACACTTTTTTGATCCAAAGATAGTAAGGAGTGGAATATGGTCTGTCTGCAAAAAAAGTACCTTCCATGAATAAATCTATGAAATTTAGTCACCGCAAAAATGATTCCTAAGGCTTTTTCTATTTGCGAGTAACCCCTTTGAGTGTCCTAGATGCATGGGCAATTTGCTTCACCGATCCATCCTTTAATTTATGCACTCCCTGATGGCGTAGGAGGTAGCATCGCTGGCTACAATGATGTCAACGTTTAGATCGTAATGTGTCAGGAACAGTTCTGATGTAAGGACGTCGTTTATTTTCTCAAATGCTTCCTGGCATTTGGTTGTCCATTCCCGCTATCTATCTTTTCTTAATAATTCATTAACTGGAGCTCTCAAAATGTGCATTCGTGGTAAAACAAAAACGTTGTAATAATTGGCAAAAACCTAAAAAACTTTGACAAGCCGACACATTTTCTGGTACTGGCATATTCTTTATTGCCATTGCCCTATATGGGTCGGGACGTTTTCCGTCTTTGTCAATTATTTGCCACAAGTACTTAATCATCTCTAAGAAAATCCTACACTTCCCGTCTTTTAATTTGAATCCGTAATCCTGGATTCTCATGAACACCTGCCAGACGATTTGTGTTCTTCAATGCTCTCGTTTTTCATTAGGATGTCATCGAGATAGACCACCGCAAAATCCAGACCATTTAACATCATGTCCATGACCTGTGGAAAGATGGAAGGTGTGACCTCAACCCCGATTGGAAGTCTTAAAAATTTGTATAAACCCTTGTTTAAAGGTAAGACATTAGCTCGATGAAGACACCATTTGTTCTAATGCCTTACCATTATGTGGGAGGCATTTCAGGTAGGTATTTCGGGGCAGGATAGAGTAGGTATATTTCTGGCGCGCTCTGTATCATTTCAACCGAATCATTTTTATGCTAAAGAGAGATGACAAGCCAAAGAAAATTGAAATCTTCCCACATATGTTTTCTAATAAATCGAAACTCTTGTAGCGAACACAGAACTATCCATCCGAAGATAAAAGCACTAATTTAAAAATAAAAGTGGATGCAGTTTTTCATATTTTTATCGAAATTTTATCAAATTAAATGGGGCTCACAACTATATAACGTAGAAACACTGGTCTCCATAAGTTCACCGATGTTAAGCACTGCCGAGCCTGGTCAGTACATTGATGGGTGACCGCTCGGAATACTAGTTGATATAAGCTTGGATGTACGGGTATTGTAATGGATAAAGTCTCGAAATTGTTAATCGGAGAGTCGGGTTCGTTATAGTCACTTACTTGCAAATACCATTGGGAAAGGGATGATCAACATCTTCACCCTCCCAGCTATGGGTTAATTAGTAAGACTTGTATCACTATCATTATCTAAAAAAAAAAACAAAAAAAAACTCTTACTATCTAAAAATATTTTCTGGCTTTAAATAACCTCAAAATGGTTGATAAGCCGTAAAAAACGAATCAACCAATTAATCAACAACTATTATCTCCGTTCCATAAATTCTTAGAATCTAAAATATTTTCTGGCTTTAAATAACCTGAAAAAGGTTGGTAAGCCACAGAAAGAGAATCAACCAATCAATCAACTACTATTATATCCCAAGCCCATTCTTACAAGCTAAAAAATAATTTCTGACTTTAAATAACCTGAAAATAGTGAGTAAGTCATTAAAAACGATTCAATCAATCAATCAACCACGATTTTCTCACGGCTCCCCACTCCAATTCTTACAATCTAAAAATATTATCTGGCTTTAAATAACCTGAAAAGGGTTGGTAAGCCATTGAAAGCGAATCAACCAATTAATCAACCACTATTATCTCTCCCCTACCAATTCATACAATCTAAAATATTTTCTGGCTTTAAATAACCTGCAATGTGTTGATAAGCCGTAGAAAACGAATCAACCACTTAATCAACGTCTATTATCCCCCCCCGTTCTTACAATCTAAAATATTTTCTGGCTTTAAATAACCTGAAAAGGCTTGGTAAGGCATTGAAAACGAATCAATCGCTATTATTCCCCTCCAATTCTTAGAATTTAAGAATATATTTTGGCTTTAAATAACCTGTAAAGGGTTGATTATCCGTAAAAAACAATCACTCAATCCAATAACATGTCCAAAAAATTAATCATTATTATTTCCATTCGATTAGAAGTCTTTATTCTAAGTAAACTTTAGCTTTTGTTTGCGACAATAAAAATCATTTAAATAGCAAACTACTTTTTAATAAGAATCTATTATCGATTCTCTTCCCAAATCCTACGGCATCCATTTCTGATCGACACAACATTATAAATCATTAGTTTTCGTCTGTTTTTGACCAATTACTTCCGACATACCGCTGAACGATAAATTTTTCCCAACAACATTTCATAGCCGAGTAACTCCTGCGACCCGTTTATTACTTACAAAAACACAAACGCATACGTAATGACGAGGGAAATTCTGTGTCACACACGAAATATGCATTGGCTATAAACATGTGTCGTTGTACTTCAATGTGAATGAACTTTTCGCACTTATCTAATTAAAAGTATTGTACAACAAAGAGCTTTTAAACGTGAACTATCACTACATTTTGTAGCTTATCCGAATTAAAGGGATTCTTTTGATTACACAACTTTTATCTTCTTTTGATTTCGCTTTTGATTTTATATAGAAATTCATTTGGACAAAACAAATGAATAAATCATCAAATACATTCGTACAACAATTGATAAATATTATCTATCTATCTATCTATCTATCTATCTATCTATCTATCTATCTATCTATTGTTAGCTAGCTAGCTAGATTTATAATATTTATCAATTGTTGTATGAATGTGATAATTTTTCATTCGTTTTGTTCAATGCTGCAGATTTCTATAGGAATTTACGTGGATAGCAATGGACAGCATGAGATAGATAGATAGATAGATAGATAGATAGATAGATAGATAGATAGATAGATAGATAGATAGATAGATAGAGAGAAATGGACATGGTGAGATAGAAAGAAATCGACAGCATGAGATAGATAGAGAGATATGGACAGCGTGAGATAGATAGATAGATAGATAGATATATAGATAGATAGATAGATAGATAGATAGGTAGATAGAAATTAACAGCATGAGATAGATAGATAGATAGATAGATAGATAGATAGATAGATAGATATGAACCGGATGCGATAGATAGATAGATAAAAAGAAAGAAAGAAAGAAAGAAATGGACATCGTCAGATAGATATAAAGAAATCTATAGATAGATAGATAGATAGATAGATAGATAGATAGATATGAATTACCTGATACATTTATGAAGACAGAACGGTAGAAATATAAGAAGAAATCGTAAAGGAAATAAAGTCATCATATTGGATGAGAAATTCTTTTCGCCACCTGCATTCCAGTGTCACCACCAAAGATAACGAATCATTTCAATTCATTCCACTCACAAAGCCTACATTCCGACCCCAACCCCCGATATTTTCCACTTTAATTCCGCTCGTTGCATCCTTCCCAACCTTCTGTCAATTATTGATATGCGTCTGGCGCGCCGAAAAGCATTTCGCGAATTTAATTTCACTATTTTTTTTTCTTTCCATTCCTTTGTGATTTCAGTTTTCTAAGCATTATTTCATTTTCTATTACGGAATCTTCTATCTGCTGACGTACACCTGAAGCGCTTTTTGTAATGTTGTTGGGTTTTTTTGTTTTTTTTTTGAAAAGAAAAATCGTTGCTAGCAAAAGAAACAGCTCAACATGCAGATTACAATTTGGAGATAACAAAATTAAAATTTAAATATCTTGGCAGAGTATTAGCAAATGGCGAAACGGTCAATCCGAAAGCTCACTGGGATAGAGAAATATGCCTTCCAAAAGCTGAGCAAAGTATTAAAAAATAGAAAAAAATCGCTAGAAACAAAGAAAAGAGTACCAAACTGTTATGTAATATCGGTTCTCCTATATGGCCTCTACTGGGTAAGACGATAAACTATGTCCAACAGCAAGGCCTCTGATCAGGAGGTTTTGAGGAGCATGGAACCACCTCTTAATTGCTGATGTTCCCAGGTCCACCCTAATTCGGGGTGGTAGCGCCTGTTAGGGTCCCAGATATGGGAAAATAGTTAACACCCAAACTTGCGTAAAAATAGGTTTTAATACCAGAAATACTTTGTAATAAAAAATATTACCAGCAATAATTTTTGGAGGAAAAATTATCAGCAATACTTAAAAAACAGCAATACAAACTAAATTTCCTAAACGAAAATATGAGTAATTGAAAAATGGTTCAAATATATATGTATATATACAAACATTTTTTTATCAAACTATCGCTATGAATCTATTTCAAAATCTTGTTGGCATTAAATAACCCACTGAGGTTGATATGCCATAAAACAAATCAACCAACCAAATCCTATATGGCAGTCAATGTTGAACAGTCTCCGTAAAGATGACGTAGAGGCTTGAAGCAACAAAAATATGGCTCTATAGAAGGATGATGAAAATATCCTGGACTAAACACGTGAGCAACGAGGAAGTTTTAGAGAAAATGGAAAAAAAAAGACATATACTTAACACCAGGAAGTGAAAGTTAAAATTTTTAGGTAACATAATGAGGGAAAAGGATTTCGAGAATTTAATACTCACAGGACAGATTTAAGGCAAGAGAGACAGAAGGAAGCAACACATGATGTCCTTAAATGTATGGCGGAACAAGATTTATGAGAGATAACGAAAAGATAAAATTTATTAAGATCTTCGAAGTACAGCAAATTCTGGAGAGCCTTGATCACCTATATCATGAATGAAAGAGGGTTATCTAATTCTTCTGCGTCGTTTTCCTTATAAACCGGAGCATCCTTGATTCATGTAGCAGCTGTTTGTCGATTCCGACAATAAAATCTAAGATGCCCTTAAATAACATACAGGAAGGCTCCAAATACGCTGCTGGGATTTGCAGGGAAACCCTTTTATTAGATTGGGGCAAAAAATTACAGAAAGTTAATCTAGAACACGAAATAAAATCTTTTTGTAAGTGTACAAAGGATATAAGATTACTAATAGAAAATTACTGGAACAATAATAATTTGGAACTTTAAAAAAAGAAATGGATTTTGACAGTAGGAGAACCGAAGTTAAAATTAAGGATGTTTTGATCTAGAATTTATTTTTAAGACAAGAATCTCTGTAGTTTACAAAGAGCGATAGATTAATTAATAGAGAGGTGATAAACAATAGCGTCTTGGAAACGAATCGATGAAAAAGTAAATTGTTTATTCTCGGAGGAGTGAATTTGTACTTTGGTAGTATGTCAGTACGTTCGCACTATAAAAACAGATACGTCACCAGTCTGAGACGTAAGGCCGATTCTCTTAATAAAGAGGCGAGTCAACCGGAGGAGGCAGAGATTTGGTTTCGTCTGTCTTTGAATGCAGTCGTACTAAGTGGAGAGACGTCAGAGATTGAAAAGGAAGTGTCTGCTGTGTGTTGCTGAAGCTGAGGACGAAGAAGCGAAATACCGCCGCGAACATCTCAGTACCACTACTGCCCCTCCTACTACTACCACTGAGAACGGGAACATCGAAGGTTGTAGCAGTTGCGCTAAGAACAGACAAAAAAGGTTTAAAACGAAAGCCACATCTCTCCTTTACTGAAATATTTCGAAGTATCTGTGTTTGTTTGGTTATTGTTCACATACATGAAACATACAACCTTGTGCAACAAGAATTTTTTTTTGTGTATATATATATATATATATATATATATATATATATATGTATAAAATTTTGTTCTTTCAAAATCGAATCGACTTGGTTATATTTATTTTTCTTTTAACCTGATTCTCACCCGACGAACTTGCAGGTGGACCAACGGAGAGCTTCCGGATGTTTACGATCCGATGACCACACACCAGGATCAAAACAATCACAACGTGGCTAGAGGGTGGCTTCGAATTGACATTGGGAATCGGAGACTTGCGTCTAACCTGTAATACTGGATCATACCGGACCAATGGCTGGTCTTGTGGAGTGCGTGAATCCAGTGGGGTGAGGATAAGGTGTTACAATTGTATAAAAGAACATATTTGAATGCGATAAAATTGTCTACATCTTTACAAGCTGAAATTGTTTAAAAAAAACAAACAAACCTCTGCATATTTTCTTTTTAGCTCCCTAAATATAATATGAACATGTCCGTCAAAACGATTTACTTATAAAAGTACCCATCTGAATACGTTATGTTATAGTTCCCGTAATGTATTTTGATTATATCCGCTAAAAGAGATGGTTACTTTTTGTTTAAAAGAAAACGGCTATTTTGTGACTTAGCCCTCGAAATATATTTTGAGTATATCTGTTAGAAAAGGATGGTTTGTTATTGTTCAAAAGAAAACGTTTTAAATACCTTGTCTTTTAGCCATATCGTATTATTTCTTAAATTTTTATATAATAAAAAATCATCTCCAGCTAAAAGAACGCCCAAAACACTTAAAAAAAACACTGAGTAAAAATTGATGACGTCATATGTACGTCACATGACTCAAAGAATAGTTAACTCGGTAATATATTTACGCTATATCTCTTTTGATCTCGTAGACTTTCTAAAAATATTTATGTAGATTCTGTACCGTTTGCTAAATATGAGAACGAGGCGGCAAACTTATTGAATGCCTTTACTATTTTGTCTGTGCTGTTGACTTTCTTTTTGTTTTAAATGGAATCGACTTTCTTTTATAGCTGTAAGCAAAAACAAGAATGATCTTAAAAACGAAAGAATCGTGAAAACGAGGGTCCATAAAGTTTTAGAATGTTTTAAATTGATTTAGCGGGAAATTAACTTAAGCAGTTTATGGAAAAGCCCGCACATACACACAAATATGTAAATTATGTCTCTATAGAGACTTGTTATTTTTACAATATACTTTGTAAAATGTTCATATCTCTCTTTTGTAAACAGTGACTATTACGGATAATAATGCAAGACGCTTTGGTATATCGAATCGACTTCTCTCAGTCACTGTGTGTTTATCTAAAAATAAATACGCTTAAATTCACCTTCATCCCTTCCGGCGGATTAGTGGTAGGATCCCTGACTGGCGCCATTTCAGTCGGGTTTCGATCCTAGCAAGAGGCAACCGGATGTCTAGCCACACTGATGAAATGTAATACAGCGAAACAGTATGTCTGCGGATGACAATATATATATATATATATACCGGGTGTAACGGTAAAATTGTCCAAATCGTGTAAATGCAAAAGTGTACAATTGTTAGATTAAGTTTTGAAACGTTGTATCTTATAAATGATTAAAGATATCTTACTGGAATTCTCTGAGGTTTGTATAACACTATTGGACTCTACTTTGAGCAATAAGAATGCATAATTATTCCCCAAGCTTAACAGAAGAATCGTGATGAAATCGATCATAAACGAAAATGAGCTGTTCATCATTAATTAATCATAGCTAAGGATCGGAAGCCCATAAAGGATTAAAATAAAGTTCAAATACACACACACACACACACACACACACACACACACACACACACACACACATATATATATATATATATATATATGGAAGAGGTTATAGTTATTCCAACGAGAGAAGAGTGGATATTTTAAAAAGATAGACCTTAAACGTTTTTGTCTGATATTTGGATTTAAAAAAAAAAAAAATTATATTATACTATATTTTCCATAATTCTGCTAAACATGTTTCTGGTTTTGCGACCTTCTTCAAGCAAATCGTAAATTCATAATGCAGTTCTATGACGTCGTACCACGCGAAAGAACGAAATATTAACACGAGAACTATATGGAATGTATATATATATATATATATATATATATATATACAAACTCTTATCACAAGTCTAAGAAATACATTTGAATCGCAACCACGCAAAAAATTCATTTTTATAATTTTGCGGAAATATCTATCCTTTGTTTGAAGAAGATCGCGAAACCAGAAACCTGTGTAGCAGAATTATGGAAAATAGTGTATAATATATATTTGAAAATAAAAATCCATATATCAACCAAAAAAATTTTGACGGTTTATCTACTTTTTTAATACATATATATATATATATATATATATATATATATATACACACACACACACACACACACACACACACACACACACACACATATATATATATATATATATATATATATATGAAGAAAAATATACTGAAAAACAAACAAAAATCCTAATATGCGATTATACTGTTTTAATGTTTAATGTCAACGTCGGACGTTTCAGTCTAATAGACCATCTTCAGGACATATTCATAAAACATAATTAACATAGACCATATACAATTCAACATGAAAAAGACGAATGCAATAACTCCACATTTCGTATTCACTCTTTATGTGTTCAATCAAGTGTGTTGCATCTGTGATTTTCATTGAGTACACCTTCTCCTTTGGCATATGAAAAAAAAGAAGTTAATTCTTTCCTCTTTCGACAAAACCATGTTTAATATGTAGACGTGAAAACAAAAAAGAGTATTGAACTGTTATGTAATATTGGTCTTCTTATATAGCTATGAATGCTTGGCAATCTATTCACAGATTTTGAAGAGACATTTTTTTAAAATTATAATAACAATTGAGACAACACTGACGAGAGGCGTGGAAGTTGATCGGGATTCGTAAATTGTTTTGGAAATGAAAAGGGCGCTGAATTTCTGACGGACATATAAAGTTTGCGTATATACAGCGTCACCCCAAGTCTAGACATATAGGCAAGAAATGAAAATTTTAGCAACGTTTTATTGAATTGGAATATTAACAAATAAAATCTTCAATATGATTTCCATCATTTGTGATGCAAAGGTTGATGCACTTTGCAAGATTGACGTGAACTCGATGCAATAACTCCACATTGCTGTCAATTTTAGCATATTCACTCTTTAACCGTTCAATCAAGTGCGTGGCATCTGTGGTTTTGATTGAGTACACCTTCTCCTTTAGCATACCGCAGAAAAAGCGACCAATTCTTTTTTTCTTTCGGCAAAACCATGTTTAATCTGTGAAGGTAAAAATATATATATATATATATATATATATATATATATATATATATATATATAATAGTTAATAAGATTTCCTATTGTCCAGGTTTTAGGACACTCTGTAGAATTAATTATCTACTGGATTTGATTTGAATTTTTTTTTTTTTACATTTTTTCAACCTTTTGTGGGTTATTCAAAATCAAAACATATTTCGGGCGACCTGTTGTTCCCAGGCAGTCGCCCATCTGACTACTGAGGTTGATCAACGCCGCTTAACTTCAGTTATCCAATGAGAACCGATGTTTTCTTCATGATTGGAACAAAGGGTTACTGGCTGGATGCCGAAGTTTTACTAAAAATATTAAATCTTAGTTTACTTACTCTATCAAAAAAAAATAATGTCGTCTTTGTTCGAAAGAGCCGAGAATAAAGGAGACCGGTAGTTAGAGAGAGAGAGAGAGAGAGAGAGAGAGAGAGAGAGAGAGAGAGAGATAGTATCGAAGGAACAGAAGACTAAGCAGAGGAAACAAAAAAGTAGTTTACTGAATGCTCATATATAGAACGGAAATACTTTAGTAAATCAAATACTACTCAAATCCTACTCTAATGTCGCTACTTGACATATTTGGAAGTAGGAGCAATCCATTGTCACGTAAGTATGGAAGATCAGAAAGTACGCTGAGTTCTACTCTACAACAAAATAATGAAATATAATCTCTCTATATATAAAGATGTAGCCTTTGACTGTCTGTTATCGAACTCCTCGTAGCGTTTGGAGCTATAGCCCAATAACCATATATATTCTGAATATACATTATCCAGGTTACTTGGATAAGTATATTTAATTTTGATGAAAGTGGATCACCGGAGGTGGGGCACCCCCACTGAATATTTTTCCCTTTGGTATAAATTAAATTTAAATTTGAACAAGGGAATGACTCCTATATTTTATTTTGATCAAAGAGAGTCACCGGAGGGGCACCTCCAAAGTGAAAAATTGTATATCCCCACTCTTTTTCTTTTCCTTTTGATTTAAATTAAATTTACATTGGAACAAGGGAATGACTCCTATCCAAAATATTGAAGGGGGAAAATCAGAATATGGAGGTCAAATCGGCAAGATCAAAATGAGACGATATGGAGCAAGAAATTACCATTCAGAAGGCAGTGCCTTACAATACATATTTGCGGCGACAATTCAAGTGTTATATCAATTTTGAACTCTGCTCATCAATTCATTTATTCAAGTATTGCACCAAATATATATTAAATGGGTTAGATCAAGCTGTTTTTGTACAAACCCCTCACTGAATTTTTCCCCTTTGATTTAAATTAAATTTAAATTTGAACAAGCGAATGACCTGTATCCAAATCGTAGAAGGAGAAAGCCAGAAGATGGAGGTCACATTTGCAAGACCATTGAGTAACATTGAAATGCATCATTTTTCTTCACAAATTATAACAATGATTTAAAATTAATCATCATTTTCTTACAAAACATGTGTGACAGGCATCAAGGTACGTGTAATTCGGCTAGTAATAATAATAATAATGATGGAAGCAATAATTTTTCATTTGAAATTCGATCTAAATATAATCATTATAATCTTTAATCGTGTCAGGCCATTTTAGTATCTGCTAAAAGGCAATGATGTTTATTCTTTCCAAACAAGGCCTCCAGCCACAATCACAAATCAATAATGTCCATTACTAAAAAAGCAAAAAAAAAAAAAAAAAAATTAAAAGAAAAATGTGAAATCAAATTGAACAAGAGTTCAATCAGACTGATTGATTCTTATGTGCGCAGACTCACAGAAGTGCTTGTTACGTATCGATTAAATTTTCCAAAGTTCGATCATGTCCTCAATATTTTCTTCTTTTTTTTATTTATTTAACAATGGCCTCAACTTGCTTGTATAAATCTCAAAGAGCCAGCTCTTACATGTATACATAATCGTCAAAAATGATTGATAAGGTGTATATTTGAATTCTAATATAATAATATTATAGTATAACGATATAATATAATATAATGATACAATATATAAAATATAATATATAATATAAAAATATTATATATTGTAATATAATAATAATATTATATAATAATATAATATAATAAATCTAATAATATAATGTAATATAATATAAAATTAACCGTCAGAAAGGAATGATAAGGTGCATATATGAATTTTAATATAATAATATTATAATATAACAATATAATATAATATGCATTATTTACATTATTCGGACTATTGTCCTCATCTTTGTCGCCATATTTATTAGGTTGTCCCAAAAGTTCGTAAACGCTTGCGAAAAATTGAATTTTTATGCAATTTTTAATTGTTTTGGGAAGCGCATTGCGACATCGGACGAGAAATGGGTCTATCTGGTCCAGCACAATCGAGACAAGCGATTGGTTCAGAAAGAGCAAGAGACACCGTCGGTTCCAAAACAAGATCAATTCGGCAAGAAAGTCATGTGCGTTTGGCGGAACTTTGAAGGAATCGTGAATTTTGAGTTGGTTCCGAATGGTCGTGCCCTCAGTGCCGAACTTTACTGTCAGCAACTGGAGCGGGTCTACGAAAAGTTGAAGCAAAAGTACCCGACTCTGATCAACCGAAAGCGCGCTTTGATGCAGCAGGACAATGCCAAGCTGCACACCGCCAGGAAGACCAAAGACAAATTTGAAGAGCTGGACGGCGTTAAGGTTCTGCCACATCCAGCCTACAGTCCTGACTGTGCTCCATCAGATTACGGCCTTTTCCGTTCAATGCAACACTTTCTGAAGTGCCGCCGATTCGTCTCGTTTGATGAAGTCGAGGAAGCGTGTCAAGAATTCTTTGATTCGAAGCCGGCTGAATGGTACTTTCACCAGATCCGAAAGCTTGCAGATCGATGGCAGAATGTCTTGGAAAATGATCGTCTTTATTTTGAGGAATAATTTTTGTTGTTTTTGTTATTACTTGGCGAGTAAAATTTCAATTTTTTTTCAATTTTTTGGAAGTGTTTACGAACTTTTCGGACAACCTAATATTACAACGTTTCGGCAGTTGTACGCTCCGGGCTTCTTCAGGTGGTTGGAATGTCCAACTGAACCATTTATTTCGTTAGCTGGGATAACCTGTTCTAGTTCCACGTGACATGTCTAATGGATGTTAGTTATCAGGTATCTCCTGTTAATTTTATACCTGAAAGCTCTCCACTGCCTTAACCGGGTATTGAACGCACACTCTTTGGGTCTTGTCACTGGATCTAACTAACGCCTTTATCCATTTACAGGACCAAAAATGGTTTTTTTATATATATATATATATATATATATATATATATATATATATATATATATATATATATATATATATATATATATATATATATATATATATATATATATATATATATATATATATATATATATATATATATATATATATATATGAGCTCATCAACGTTTTCGACGTATGAGTGTCTTTCAGTTCAGTTTAATCCTTTACCTGTCACCATCGCCTTAACTCTCTCACCAGTGGACTTTTTGCTTAGATGGAATAGCAAAGAAGGAACACAGAACTGAACTGCAGACTATCCACAAAAAAGATTTGTTTAGAGCGTTGAGGGCTTGAGTAGAATCAGTCACGCTTATTATCACTTTTGCGATCTTCAGACAATTGTCTGACGATCGCAAAACCAAATACGTTAGCTCTATCTCTGATATTGAGCGCTTTCTAATAAGTACCGCGCATATAATATATAAATAATTATATATATATATATATATATATATATATATATATATATATTATTATTATTATTATTATTATTATTGTTATTATTATTATTATATGAAAAGATTACTTAACTTTCAAATATCAATTTTTTTCTGGATTTCGAAGTTTCTTGCTAAAATTTCCAGTCGGTTTGTCTTCAGAAGAAATTTTACCATGAATTTTTGAAGTCGGGAAAAATTGATATTTAAATGTTAAATAATCATTTTTATATAATATTAACGCTATATTTTTAATATTTTAAATATTATTTTAATATTTTTAATATTAAGCATTATATATATAAAATATCTGCTGTTTCTTAAAGCTTAAAATGTGTGTGTGTGTGTGTGTGTGTGTGTGTGAGAGAGAGAGAGAGAGGGAGAGGGAGAGAGGGAGGGAGGATATCATGTGTAACTCGACGTGTAAATGATCGTTGAAATTCAGGTTCGATTTCACCCGAAAGGTACATATTCATTCAACATTTGATTTTAAAACTAGTCCAACAGTAAATAAGCTGAAAACTTTTGCTCAGGCTTAACAAATCTCATAGGTAGGAGATATTTTCAGTATATTAAGAAAAGGAGCACTTGTATACCAAACTGTATCATGAAACATTTAATATGATCCCATTACTAGCAGCGACCAGTTGAGATAAATCGTCAATAAGTGTCACTTTTGTTAAATATACTGAATTATTTACTAAGCTTTGCTTGGTTTTGGTAAAAATATGAGACATACAGTGATAATCGAAATCCCTATGCAATTGTAATGATAAGACAGGCTACCTGCAAAGTGGTATATTTACAAGATATCAGACCAAAACAAACAGTCCTGGGTATGACGATAAACTACATCCAACAGCAAGGCCACTGATCAGGAGGTTTTGAAAAGCATGGAACCACCACTTAATTGCTGGTGTTACGGGGTCAACGCCAAACGGGGGTCAAAACACTATCAAAGTGTAAAAATAGGGTTTCTTTTTAATCAGAAATACCTTGTAAAAAATATTACCAGTTATAGATTTTTTTTGAAAAATAAAAAGAAAAAATATTACCAGTGATATTTGAAAGAAAATTACTACCGGAAACAGATTTTTGAAGAATTTTTTTTTTTTTGCCCGAAATAGATTTGTTGTAGAAAAAATATTACAAAAAATTTTGAAAGAAAAAAATATTACCACAAATACATTTTTGAGAAAAATATTATCAACAATAAAAATTTTGTTGGCATTAAATAACCCATTGAGGTTAATATGCCGTAAAACAAAACAATTCAAACCAAAACGATTTCGTACAAAGAATACGTTTTCTCTTCATACGAAACTATCCTAAAAATTTTGCCGGCATTAAATAACCCATTGAGGTTGATATGCCGTAAAGCAAAACAATTCAAACTAAAATGATTTCGTACAAAGAATACGTATTCTCTTCATACGAAACTATCCTAAAAATCTTGTCGGCATTAAATAACCCACTGAGGTTGATATGCCGTAAAACAAAACAATTCAAACCAAAAAATGATTCATTACAAAGAATACGTATTCTCTTCATACGAAACTATCCTAAAAATTTTGTCGGCATTAAATAACCCATTGAGGTTGATATGCCGTAAAACAAAACAATTCAAACCAAAATGATTTCGTACAAAGAATATGTATTCTCTTCATACGAAATTATCCTAAAATTTTGTCGGCATTAAATAACCCATTGAGGTTGATATGCCGTAAAAAAAACAAAAACAATT